AAATACACTGGTACATTACACTATCACTACAGCCCATTACAAGTCCACTACTGAACATAGCCCCATAGATTGTCACAAAGTATGGTCCTGAGTCACATGCATACATGAACCATCTGTGCCCAACACCTTTCTTTCCCATACCCTGCAGCTATATTATGGTTGTAGCACGAATGAGTCAGTTCGACCGGGGAAGGACCACAATCTCACAGAATACCAATGTAAAATAGCAGCTTAATACTGCTGTGTTTCGTATGATGAGTGTAGAGATTCGGAGACCCTTTTTACTGGAAACGAAGCATTCCATCTTAGTCCTTAGGGCAGACAATGCATCTGCATTTTAATTCAATGATAAATGTAGATGTCTATGGGCCACAGCATCCACTTACATCAGGTGGACTGTGTCCTCGTTTTTCACCCTTATTCTATTTAAAAAATCCTAAGGTAAATTCTCCCTACAACGGGAGAGGTCAATATGAAGTAAATAATTTTGGCAAACTGAAACTGGGCTTATTACATATTTATAACCATATAGTGAAAAAATATTAAGCATTTCTTAATTAACTTTTAATGCGTGAGCAATCTCATATCTAAATGTTTGTGCTGTGGCACACATTATTTCATGTATGCATACAAAACTAAATAAAATTTTTAAGTCTCACGGCAGTATACGCTATGAAAATTGAATGTGTTGCGGCGCCACATTGATACGCCATTCCGGCCGAATATTCGTTATATATTCGGTATATTCGGCAGCTATACCGAATATTCGTATTCGGCCGAATATTCGGCTAAAACATCGAACATTCGTTTTCATAGTGTCCAATGTATTGAAATGTACAATTGAGTAAGGCGATGTCTTTTACTGTTGAAAGTATATTTTATTTATGGGTTAAATCTACTTACTCAAGAGTGCCTCAAATGCACAAAACTATACATTTATGTTTTTACATGTGACATACCGCGAAATTCAAGCAACTTTAGACATTGGCATGAGTCAAATACAAATAATCTTGCATGAACAATTAGGTGCAAAAAAGTTGTTTTTCCGATGGATACCGCATTCGCTCTGTGAAGAGCAAAAAGCGGCTCGCGTTATTTGGTGCGTCAGAACTCTCGAAAGATTCCACGTAGGATCCTCAAATGCTGTATACAACATCGTATCAGGTGACGAATCCTGGATATATGCGTACGAACCCGAAACAAAAAACTAGTCACTAGTTTGGGTGTTCGAAAATGAGTTAAAGCCAACAAAAATTGTTTGTTCACGGAGTATTGCAAAAAAAATGGCCCATGTTTGTCTCCAAAACCGGCCATGTTACGACTATTCCTCTTGAGGGACAAAGAACGGTTAATGCAGAATGGTATGCTAGCATTTGTTTGCCATAAGTCGTTACTGAACTCCGTAAAGAGAACTGCAACTTTGAAATAATACTACTTTTTACGGAATTTATCGCGTATATTTAACTTTTTTACCCGACGTTTCGAGAGCTTTACAGCACCCATGGTCACGGGAAGGACTGAATTCGGAATCCTGATAACACCTTGAGCCATACTGTGTATAGAAAAAAGACCAATACAGATAGATATTTAAACGGTGATTCTCACCACCATCCTTCACAGTTAGCTACCGTGGGTAAATCTTTGTTTCAGAGAGCACGAGGGATCTGTGACAGTAAACACCTGGCTGCCGAGCTCCAACATGTCAAGCAAGTTTTGCATGACAACAAGCTTCGGGTCCCGCGCCTACGTCACAGAGAACGAGTGAAGCCGGCCACAGTCGAGCGTGTACCTGCTGTACTGCCATATGTTAGAGGAGTCACTGACAAGATTGGCTACATCTTGAAGCGCGCTTCCATCAAAACATACTTCAAGCCGCCGAAGAAGATTGGTCAGTTTTTACCATCAGTTAAGTGTAACGTCCCTCTGCAAGATGCAGGAGTGTACAAGCTTGATTGTGAATGTGGTCTCTCCTACATAGGACAAACTAAAAGATCAATTAAAACCCGCGTCAAAGAACATATAGCTGATGTGAAGAATCGACGCTCCGGGAAGTCTGCAGTCTGTGAACATGTACAGGATCGCCCCCGTCACTACATCAGATTTGATAGACCACAAATCCTCGCTAAAGAACACCGATTCCTTCCAAGGATGATTCGCGAGGCTATTGAAATCAAAAAACATCCTAATTTCAATAGAGAAGATGGCTGGGTGCTACCATCTGCTTGGGATCCTATAATAAATAAAATTAAATCCCAACCCAAGCATACAACTGCAAGACTCCATGATACCATAAGTTCATACTGTGTAGATCGGAACAAAAGTTAAATTTTAATCTATGGTAACCGCGGTTAACTATGACAGCTGGACGTTGAACATCTCAGTCCTTCCCGTGACCATGGGTGCTGTAAAGCTCTCGAAACGTCGGGTAAAAAAGTTAAATATACGCGATAAATTCCGTAAAAATTAGTATTATTTCAATGTGTAGTGTTCGCGTAAATATAAGAAATCAGAACTGCAACTGTCGCATCATCCTCCATCACGACAATGCAAGTTCTCACACTGCACACAGAACAAGAGTTTTTAGAGCAAGAAAACATAGAATTATTAGACCATCCGCCGTACAGCCCCGACCTAAGCCCTAATGATTTCTATACTTTACCTAAAATAAAGAATAAATTGTGTGGACAGAGATTTTCATCACTCACACTCACACCACATTTTGGAGACCCCAACTTCTGAATGGAATGGTTGTTTCAATGATTGGTTCCATTGTATGGAAAAATGTATCAAATTTCACGGAGAATACTTCGAAAAGCAATGAATACATTTTTAAATAGTAATGTTGTGTCACTTCCTTGATTCTCGAAATTTTCAGTGCCGCCCTCATACATTAGTACATTTCACTTTACTTTGGTCATCAGATTCTCTAAAATAAGTCCAAATAGTAGATCACGTAGCACTCATTTTTATCATATAATTATCAATTTTCACTTTTTTCTCACCATAATAGTCGAAACATAAGCATGTGCCGGCAATTTGCTTAGTACTAGATGATATAATAACATGTCAGGTGTGGCGGGGTAGCGAAGGGTAGAGTGCGCTAATCCCGCATGCTTTACGGCAACATTCGACAAATTGGTTGGGTCCCGAGGTTATCGTGCCGAATAATGTTCGGCCGAATATTCAGTTCGGTAAATATTCCACCCATCCCTATACGCCATAGGAATTCGCCTATAAAATAGATGTCTAAAGATATTCTGTGGAAATAAATGACAATCAGAGGACGTCCTATGACGTCGCGCCATTTCATAATTATATCAACACGACATTGTTGTAAGGCGTTGCTCATGGGAATGTGTTAATAAGAAGTGAAATTGAACTTCAAAAACTAAAACAAAATAATTTCACATAAGTTCTTTTATTTTTTATGTAGCTATGTTTGGGATTCAGGCATGACTTTGTTTTATGACCTGATCATAATAATTCTTTTAATAAATAAGTTATACTTTATTGGTATACTATAAAAAATCCAGAACTGTAGCAATTTTTTAATAATGGGATTAAAAAAGATATTTTCAACATTAAAATATAAGTGTATGTTTTGTGTAAGTAATAAATGTTTGTGTAGTGATTTTGAAAAAAAAAGTTATCTACTTTAATATTATCTCATATTAGTGCCACATGTGTATATGCAAATACAGACACTAATGCGGCTTTATGCTACACTAATCTGTTACAAAAGATTAGTGTAGCTTTACACTAATTTAATGAGGTAGGTACATTACATTTGTATAAAGCTGTATGAGTATCTGTTTTTATGGAGTAAGATCTCAAATGAGTTGGCATGCACTGGCAGGTAACACATTTACAATACCTACATTAAATAAAATGGAATTAAAACCCAGATCCTGCTACTCAGTGATTAGGTACATTGTATACTAAGACATAAATCAGAAAGGGTAGAGTCATGCGTTTTAATGGTAATGAATGTATGCACATTTAAATCTAATTTCAGAAAAATTGTTGATGTGCTGTTTTGTTATTTTTTTAAATCTGTTTTTTTGATCCGCATTCTACATGAAGCAATAATATATAATTTTAATACACTTTCATCATCATCATTACAGCCCTTCACAAGTCCACTGCTGAACATAGGCCTCCCCCAAGTAATGCCATAAAGCACAGTGCTGGGCCACCTACGTCCATCGACTTCCAGCATGTCTTACCAGGTCATCACTCCATCTACTGGGGGGTCGCCAATACACTTTGATCTTAGCCAAAAGGCAGAAAAGCTGTTTTAATAGTGTAAAGGTTGCTCAAGTGTCATCACGGCATGCCGGTATCACTCCCCGAAATTGCTCACAACATCAAAGGACTGCTGAACTTCTTCAGGGAGATTTCATGGCTCAAATAATCACAAAATTCCTGCCCATATACAAAATATGCGGTTTAGAAATGGGAGTTGCAGAAAACAGCCTGTCGTAAACTAATAATTTTAATATAATTTTATATATTTAATCATTCATTTTAGCCTATTTAATTTCACTGTTTAACATAGGCTTCCCCATAGATAGCCTCTTAGGGAGGATATTTACCATAGTTGCCTTTCTTGGTAAGCGGGGGACGGTCGGGAATTATGAGGAAAATACTGTAGCCCATCACCTGCTTCTTTTCTCTTTGTCACCTCTTACGACACCCACAGCACAATATGGGATTTATTGTTTATTTATAATAACATACCCACACAAAGTAGTCTAGTTTTTATGCAAAATATCCAATTTAAACCGTAATAGTAACATTGGAATTTCAAAAGTCAAGGAGCGCTTAACACTACGATATTAAAAATTACAGAAAAAAAAATTCTATGGACTTTTTGTATTAGACATCAACAATAATAAAGGCAATAGTAATTTTTTATCAAAACTTTGTAAACAAGTATAGATAAACATTTACATACTAGTGAGATAGAGAGCAAAAGATGATTTTTTAATCAAACATACCTGGCACATTGTTGGTTGACACTAATGCCCTATCAGGCGATGAATCTTCCTCATCAGACATCCTGATTATTTTTCAGGCTGTCTGTCACACACTAAACTTTTAAAAATGTGATTCACTGCACTTCATCACACTGATACTTAAGGATAAGTCCTGAGAGATTCACATCAAAAAGTCAATACTAGGGCATGGAATTTTTTTACATCTATATCATGTACATGTTCCATTTTGATGAGGTGTATATCTGGAAGTAATAAAATTTTCATTGAAAATGTGTAACCCAAAGAGGAAACCCTATCAATGCTCTAGTATAATATATATTACTTATAATAAATAAAACGCGTAGGTGTATCGAAATTACAGCTTCCGAAAAAGGTCGTAGACCGCAAATACGACTTCTTATCTACTTTTCTTTTAATAGCTACAAGTACAACTAACTATTTTTGATCGAGGCGCATAGTGATTGTTAACTGCAAACGCCTATTGATTACTTTCCTTATTCTTAACAGGAAATAGTTTGGTTTCCTCTATTGTGCATTAATTTAAAGCTGACAATTGTTTTCTATCTATTACAAAGTTGTAGATGTCATACTAGAACGCTTTCGTTTCGTAATCCTGAGGTTTGAACTTTATTTAGCTAGGCATTATAATAATTCCTACCAATAAAGAATTGCAAGTTTTAAAAGGCCGATGACATATCAATACTTTCAAAAATGAGCCCTTGAATATATTTAATATTTTGAACCAACAATAAACGCTATTAATATTTCAATACATACGTATTTTTTGTTTCGTTCTGAATACAATATACCAAAGATCTTAACCTAAATTTATTCTATTGATTGTTATGCAAAAACACTTGGATGAGTCATCACAATTATAAAAATAGCACATTTTCACTAAGTATTAATGATAGTCACCTGATAGTTATTTATAGTTAATTATACATTACTATTGCAAATAATTTAATCGAAATAACACAATTTCTGAAGGGCCTTGGGAAGCAGACATTTTTCTTAGCCATAGATCAGTATTATTTATTCTTTATTCTGAGGGATTTTATTTGGAGTTTATGGCCTGGTATCTAGACCTTTAGGCCAAGTTGTTTATTCTGTGGGATACTCATCATGGTATTGCCAGGAACCACTTAAATTAAATAAATACAACCATAGATTATTATTTTAGTATAAGTCTTTCACAATGTAAAAAAAAACTTTTTGATATCTTCCTGAATTTTATTTACCTTTTCAATATTTTACAGTACTATAAAGTTCCATTTGGAAATTACCTATTACTACATTTGTTTAATTACACGCCTCAGAACGCGAAGCGTTTGAGTTTGAGATAGTGCTTTATTCCCTACACGTCAAGGTCAAGCAATTTTGTGGTTTTAAAAATGCCTCTATCATAAACATATTGCACTTATACGATAATATGAGTAGCCGTATATCAAGAAAATGTCTCTACGCTAATTTCGTATGCGGTGACGATAACTTCCGAAAAAATTAAATTATCGAAACCGGATGTTTTTTTATTAAGTTCAAAATTACATCAACTGGTTCCTTTTTTCATATCAGTAGCCTAGTACGCGTAGTTTGTTGATAAAATGTTTTTTTTTATACATGTACCTCAGTGCCAAATTAAGCAAGCGCGGGGCCCGTAGCAAATTATATCGAGGGACCCTCGATCTGCTATAGATTTTTAAATATAAAGTGATAAAAAACAATTAAATACTCATTAAATTTTTTTGCTATCCAGGTTACAATTTTGTTAGTGTTTAATAATACAGTAGTTTACTATATGCCCTGTTAGACTCTGGCAAGTACAAAAATACAGACGTGAGATTGTCCTGGTAATTTAGAATGCTTTTGATAAGAAACTAACAATTCAAAACTGACTATACTAACACATAATTGTAAATGTTTATTATTAGTAGGATTATTAGTACACTTTTCAAAGTTGATATTTATATCAAGTGAGAATATTTTCGGGAATAGCTAATGTTATATTTTATTAATGGTGTACTTAAATTATGAACATATTACATATTTATTTATCTGTTTCTTTTATTGCTTTTTAAACGCCTACGAAGTAACTTCTCCAGATTTCATGTGGACAAATTTAAAAATAATACTATCCGTATCAATTTCTCAAAACAATAAAAATCAGGGAAGTAATTTAGGCATTCTTGACTCATGGTCTTCCCTAATTTAATTTTTTATACGGTTCAATGTCGAATATGAACGTTCACCGCTGCAGTTATTGATCAAAAGAAGCAACAAATACACTAAGCAGTTTCAAATTAGGGAAACATGATTCTAATGAATTATCCATTAGGAATTTATATCGAATTTCTGGAAATGGATGTGGCTAAAGCAATTCGGTAAGTTGCACTAATTCCTACAATAATTGGAGTTTCGTTAAAAATCTCTTCGGCTGATATATATATATATTTATTTTGTGTGCCTGTTCTGCATTGAAAGGCAAGTCTCGAAGCGTACTTTGAGCTGGCGATCATTGAGTTTGCAGCGCCCCCATTTGTTAACCTTTTTTACCTTGCCTATTTGACGCAAATGTACCAACATTGTTTTTATGCTAACGTCGAAAGCTACTGCTAATTCAGCTGTAGATTGAGTATTTATCACACCTTGTTAAAATATTCCAAAAACACCAGTTAGAATTTGGGATGCTTTCATGCGTTTATGCTGAAAGCATAAACGCGAAATACAATACAAAATACCATAAGTTCATACTGCATAGATCGGAACAAAAGTTAAATTTTAATCTATGGTAACCGCGGTTAACCATGACCATGAGTGCTGTAAAGCGTTCGAAACGTCGGGTATTTAAAAAGTTAAATATACGCGATAAATTCCGTAAAAACTAGTATTATTTCAATGTGTAGTGTTCGCGTAAATATAAGAAATCATTACGATGTATCATTTTCGAATTCTGCAGCTGAAATTGATAAGCTTATAAAGGGGTACTCCGGCCTAGAGATTAGAATAGTATTCCATATGAGAACGAATCTGCGCTTAACAAAGCTTCAAGTAGTAGTCCGGCATGGAATCCCGTCTCGATCTACTGAGCACTCCTAGTTTTTTTGATGCCATTTTAGCCTTCCCTTCCAAGTGCCTACAAAACTATACGTCTCTCAAAATGTCGACGCCAAGGATTCCGATGCTGGCTGAGGTAACGAGGGAGTGTCCTGAAATCAAAGAGATACGACAAAGGGGTTATTTTTTGCGGTAAACGCGCAAACCTGTGTCTTTTGGGGATTAAACTTTAGTCACCCCCAACCTTAGACTTTGTTCAACAAAGACTCGACTTCAGACACAAGTTTGTTCCAAAACTCAACGACGTGCTCGCGAGAAATATTTGCACGGCCGGTGTATAAAGCATCGCCAGTACTGCCGTCAGAATAACAATGAATATTACTATAGTTAGTGCCAAATCGATTGAGAAAAACAGACAATGACCTCAGATATGAGCCGTGTGTCAAAAGCCGTAACTTACAAAATCTCAATTTAGATGTGATAACAATATTTAAATATTGATATTATTCACACTTCTAGGTCAGCACATAAGTTTTGTTTCTTTGTTTCTTAAATAATATTTTCTGTAGTTCCTATAAACATCATAAAATCTTACGGTACATCGCGAGAAATATGTTATATTTTATATTTCAATTTATCGTTAGTAACGCAGCAATTCATTTAATAACAGTTTCATATTTAAAAAAAATCCTTCGAATCGAATCTTTATATGTGTTATAAATTAATGCTATTTATTGTTAAATGAATAACGTAGGGTCAATGTTCTATTAGCTGACCATGCACCAATAGTTGACCAAAACACAAATAAAAACCGATTTTAACGTACATTGGTAGGATTTAATATCAGTTTTATTGTTTTGCATATTGGAATTATTATTATAGTCTCTTGGTATACGAGTCAGCTCGATATTGGTTGACCAATCAGAGTTATTTGCAAGTGAAGATGGCACCCGGTAAGTACGCGTCTGATTCACTAAGAATGTTTATTATGGGTTTCTTGGTAAATCTTATTTAATCTAGTTAATTTATTGTATATTTTTTGGTTGAATGATATATGGATTAAGGATAATAGTTTGTTTAAGTGCCAAAAGTAATAATTCTGCTGTTTTATGTGGATAAGGGTTTCTGGTGGAGGTGGTTATCCTTTGGCTCCGATATTTTAACCTGCTCTTAAAGCTGTCCACGGTGGTCAAGTATTGGCTAAAAGATATATTCAAGAATGTAAAGTTTTTTTTATTTAACGCATTTATTTTGTTGATTCGTCAAATATAACCTAAAGCATGATTTCTGTAGGATGTGGTTTCCAATAGTTGACCAGTGTTATGTTTTGTGCTGTTTGCTGTGGTCAGCCTTAGGAACGAGGTTTCCTAATGCCTGTCCAGTTAATCTATTCGGTATCTATTACTGAAAACAAATTAGTTCAATCAGCCCAGGAAGCATCAACTTCAACACCCACCCTAGAAGCTTGCGTTTGGTCTAATAATGCGGCGCGGATATGACTCCGTCACTCTTTCAAACTACGCCAGGCGCTCTAGTAATTTGGTGTTCATCTACTGCTCCAGGTGGAGAGATTGCAAGTAACGAACAAGGTAGCAACACAGTTTCCCCTTCTAAAAATAAATTAGTCCAGCTTACATCCCAAAAACAAAAACTAATAAGCCCTGCATTTGGTAACCATATTTTGTGGCCATCACACTCTCCAATAAAGAAAAAAAAAACAAAGGAACGCCTGCCACTTGCGGTGACATCAAAATATTTCATTTATTACTTTGAAAAAAAAAGAAGAAAAGCAAAAGAAGTTAGAAGATGTAGAAAATAGAAAAAAGAAAGCGAGATGAGAAGAAAACAAGCAAAGGTAAAGTAAAGAAACCAATTCGTTCACTCTCCAGTGACTCAGTAGAGAGTAAAAAAATGTGAAGTCGAAGGCATAAAATTAAAAAAGAAACAAAACAAACTCATTATACGGAGTGATAGTGAGTCAGACGGTAACACAACTGATATAATAAT